GAAAACCATCTCCAAATTGTCAAGTTTTATGAGCTCAGAAAAACAATTTACTCCTACAAAACAATTGTTAGATAAAATGTATACGGCTGTCAGCAATTGAATCTGTATATAGATGGTGTACGTTGAGTGATGGCCTTAAGTTGACACTTGCAATAGTTCTTTAGATTTATGTCTTTGTGTAGTTGTTTTTCTGTTTGTATTTTCTATCTATACATTTGTTCCTGGCACAGTATGACACATAATTGTTTCAATTAAAAATGATTATAGATGAGTTTATAAGAAATTTAACGCACCTTTGCTCAGTTCAATACACAGTGTTTTGCTGCTACAGTCTCACTTGGTCTGGTATGGTGGCTAATTTTAGTTCATCTTAGCAAACATTAGATAAATATCGCTCTGTGCCTGACATTACTGAGTCATTTTGCCAACTTTACACCTCTTCTTTATTTCACTTTAAGTAGGCAGCTGTCTGATCAAACAATAAGCTAGGGAAAGAAATTGTGCAAGCATTCAATACCAGCTTTGGGTACATGCCAGTTTTATATATTGAATGCTATTGATACATTATTACCAAAAGGGTATTGAGTTTGATTCCCATCCATATCAAAGATAGCAAGGGAACATAAGGAGAACAGGTTCAGTAGCCTCGAAAGAGGGATGAACAAACAGAAAAAGAGCAGATAGAGAAAGAAAGAAAGAAAGAAAGACAGAAAGAAAGAAAGAAAGAAAAGCCGATTGGACACTGTATCTGTGATGAGGAGAAGGAAGAGACAATCAGATTGCTCGCATCTCACAGTGTTGTATTCAGTGGGGGCCACTTACACAGTCAATAGTAATGGATAGCAGATGCTGTAAGAGAGACTTTGCCTTCTTTATCTGCTTACATGTAGTACATGGCAACAACAATAGCCCCGACTACTGCATTGAAAATCTATCCGACTTGCTCAATTCTCATCTTTTCTTTACAAATGGCAACTATTAGTCACCAAAGAAGCTGAAGCGGTTCCTCAGATAACAAAAGAGACAAATGAAACGAGGGAAAAGACACAGATGATCATCAATACATGAGAGTGCAAGAAAAGAGTAAACACAGAGAAAGACAGGTGGAGCTGAGGAAAAAGAGGGGAGGAAAGGCAAAGGGGCATAGGGGGAAGTGAGAAAGTGCGGCAAAAAGCATTCAATAAACACGTCTCTATAGTAACCAAGATGTAATTTGCTTGGTGAGAAAAAGAGAAAGATGGAGATTCAGGGGGAGTGATGGAGAGAGGGGAATAGAAAAGCATTTACCATCACTGCTTGAGTCCAGAGCTGTAATTATGGAACTGAGACGCAGCAAGAGAGGGGGAGGAAAAGAGCAGAGGTACACACAAGGCAAGAGCCGCACACAATGTACTTTTACAAAAAGAAAAGGTGAGAACGAAAAAATACACACAAGTAAAGCGATGACCCCATAAAATTGGCACTGTTGCAAATAAGTGTAGTAGGCGTGAGGAAGAAAGGCAGGGAATGAACACAGTTCCAGAAAGTACAAAATGACAAAGATAAAGGAAAAGTTGTGAAACGACAATTCTTTTGTAAGTGTGTGGGGGGAGCGAGTTCATTTGTTCATGGAACCATCAAAGATTAAAAAAAAAAAACCCACAATAATCCTGGCTGATCATTTAGTCAAATAAGAAAAATATTCGGATTAAGTGGGGATAAGTATTAATGTTGCAGGGGCAGTGGAAAGATATGCAGAGGTGCAGGAGAAGAAGATGATGTGTAATAGTGTATTAGGGAGGGAAGGGAAGAGTGACAGCAGAAGACAAGATATCTTATGGGAAAGCAGTAGTCTCGAACGATGAGTGATAGACAGGCCAGGATGTGCATGAAACATGCAGGCATATGGCCAATCAAAATAGTAAGAGACCAAAAATAGCGGGATAACAGAGAAGACAGAGAATGGGGCCAGTCCCACTCTGTGTGTGACTGAAAGAGAGACAGAGTGATATAAGGAGAGTGTGTTCACGCTGTGTGTGTGTGTTTAAGAAAAAGCAAGTGTGTGTGTGTGTATGGTAGGGTAGTTGATTACAGCTCTGGCGAGTGGCTTGGTGTCAGCCTGTATATGTGGAGATAACAGGATTAAGAGGCTACTGACACTACTGTACAAAAGAAATGGCGAGAGAAGAAGGAGTGATAGTGAGGAGAGGCGAAACAGCAGGAAAAAAATGAAAACGGAAGGAAAAGGAAAAATGGAGATATAATCATTTAAACAGATGGATGACAAATCTGAATGAATGAGCCACCAAAAGCACATGCTTCCATATAGGGCACAAGGGGTCACGGAATGGTTTAATGAATGTAAAAAATGTATGAATCATATTTTATGGCCTTCACAAGCACCAGATCACAACCTGATAGAACACTTATGAGAAATTTTGGACCAACATGTTGGACAGCGCTCTCCAGCAAATGAGGGAATATATCTTTTGCAAGAATGGTGTGCATTCCCTCAAATAGAGCCCCAGACTTGCAGAATCTATAACAAAGATCACTGAAGATGTTCTTGAGGCTGTTCTTTTGTCACGTTTGCTGCTGACCACTTCTTAAACCTATTACTTTAGAGTCCATAAGACAGACAGGCCCTGAAAATATACACATTGATAATGATGGTAAAAACTAGTTCCCACCTGGAGCAATGACAGAAGTAATTTCTAGCTTTCAGCGTGTTACAGAAAACTGGAGAAAATCAATGGAGGCTTGGACTTCAAGTTGACATATTCATGAATCATCTTTAGCTTGACTAGAGTTAGTTTTAAAAGGTCCTGAAAACCTATTATCTAAATCTGCTTCTTAGTACAGTATGAGGTATGCAGTCTTACATAAAAACTTTAAAAGTTTTGGTTATTTCACAAGTTTTTGTCCGGGCTTTACTCTGGGGTGGGAGCTCAGATGAAATGTCACATGCTTGTGAGAGCCAATCAGGGTTTAAGGGTTGTTTGCTTATGTTGCCAGGCTACTGTCAATCAAATCTGAACAAAAGGTACCCACACAGTGTTTTTGTGTTAAACTCATAAATAATACAGTTTTTTTCCCCCAAATTTGAACTATAATTGTTGCATAATTAGTCAAAGAAAATCAATACACGTTTTCATGTGGCTTGAAGCATAAATTAGGTTCATAGGAATCCTTATTTAGTAATTCTCGATGCAGGTTTAGACTCTATGAGATAAGGGAAAATGTTTGCTGAAATAAACTGTGCCAGGAGATGGGGAAAAAACATATTTGACCAGTAATGAGAAGATCAATGAGAGGGAAGATTAGGACGGATGATGGATAGAGATTGAAGAAAAAAAGAGGGAAAAGATTTTGGAAAGAGAGCTGATAATGATGAATAGCAGACACACGGGAGTTGAAACAAATATTAAAGAAGAGAGTAGTAAGAGATAGAGAGAGGGTTTCAGGGCGAAGACAAACTGCAAAGTTTTCCATTTCTGCCTGTTTAGTTAAAACAACCATTAATACGTGCAAAATCCATCAGCTTTGCAATCAACATGGCTCTTAATTTAGTGCATCATAACTGTAGATTTCAATTTGTACTCCCATGGGGTAAATGAGACCACTTTTCTCTCCAATCTAATCTGAGTCAAGGGGGAAACTGGTCAATTTATAGTCTGAGTCAGAAGAGTTAGCTGCAGGGCCACTGAATACTTAAACTGTTATGTTCTGCAGACAATTCCAAATTGAAAGTTAGAAAAAGGGAATAAGGGGTTTTTTTAGACAAAAAGAGGGAGAGCAAAATGAATTTTCACAAAGTATTATTAACCTCTGGCACTCTTACAAAATTTGTAAGGAACTGTCTGGGCTTATAGATCAATCAAAGAGAGAGAAAGAGACCCCTGCAGAGTGAGTTACTCCTCTGTGGTCCGCTCCACGTTTGCTGAGGGAGCGCTAGCTCACTAGGGACAAATTAGCCACACAGGAGCACAGAGGCATCATGGGAAATTAATGATCAGGACCTCCAGGAAGTGAGCTAATGAGTCCTAGTGCCACACGCACATGTACACTAAGAACCACCACACACATACATACACAGGATAAAAGATAGAGAGGAGGGGGGTCCTGCAGAAAGGAAATAGCCAAATGTGCAGTTGCAGCAGCTAATAACACAAAGCTATCAATGTAACTTTGTCTGGATGAGTGATAGTGCTGGAACAAATGCAGGGTTAGTAATCTCACACACACACACACACACACACACACACACACACACACACACACGCACACGCACACTTTAGAGAATCAGATAATTAGAGAGGACCACCAGTGGCTTTCGCCCATGGAGGCGTAGTGATTACTGTCACTACACCCTCCCCTGGGGCGGCTGACAACAACCAGAGAATTAATACTTAACAAACACACACACACACACACACACACACACACACACACACACACACACACACAGAGCCAAGTGTAGCTGAACTAAATGTGGATCTTGTGAACGACTTGTGGTGGGGCTCCCCACTGTTTGATTATCTTGTGTGTCGGGTACCTGAACGCCTCATTTTACCATGTAATTTTGCCCTACTTGGAGCTATATAGTAACTATAAGTTATAAGGAAGTTCGGGAGGGAATGAAGTAAGAAGTTTTGCTTGTTAAATTCTGTGAACCAGCTGCACCTCACTTCTGGAGAGGAAAACACCCAGCTGCTGCACAGGACAGCTGCCCAAGGTCTGACAGGACTTAAATTGTGTGTTGGAGCCTATTGCAAGACAAGCTCCAGGTCCAGATCATCACATCAGGGGAGAGAAAAGAGGACAGAGGGTCCCAGGTCAGATCCTAAAAAAACTGGAACAGTGACAGACTGTCTCCCCACACCAGTCGGCGCAACTCACAAGGATTTAACTCTACAGTACAGTATCACACATTACCACACCCTTGTCGGCTGATTGGCCAAAAGTTTCCCCGGCACCGCCCTCAGCTCAGCGGACCCGCCCTTCCATCGCTCTGCAGCCTGTTGCTGCCAAACCAGCTGGCACTTTGAACTGATAGTCTGACACATTACAATATACTGGAAACTCTGACCTTTAAACCAGGTTTTTAGTCTTTGTTGTCTATTTTTTTTTAAGTATAAAGTCCAAAACCACCATGCGGACCATGGACTCTCACTGTGGAAGATCACGCCTTCCACTCTGCAGCCTGTGATCTAAGCTTTTTTTTTGTTGTTGTTGTTGTGTGGCACCTTTAATCACTTTACCTTTCTGCATCATGCGAAACTGCAGCCATAGGTGACGCAAAAAGTTTTGAGTTTGTTCATGAGTGGGTGAAGCTGCTGGTGGAAAGTTTGTTCAGGAGCTGCTCTGCCGGCGTCTCCTCACCTGATTCCTGCACGCCACACCCAGCCGGTGGTGCAGAGCCTCATCGCAGGCCCCCCTTGCGGCGGTCAGGATGGGCTCCTTAGTGGGGACACCGGGAGCTCTGCCTGCCTGGAAAGCCACGATTTTCCTCTTTAACATAATCGCAGCTGCTGTGGCCAAAAGACACGTCGTGTACTGGAACTCAACAAATACAAGGTGAGGAAACACTTTTAAATAAAAATAAAAAATAATGATGCGCCTATTCAAGGGAGAAATGAGTTAGGTTCCTTCTCACTGCGGGTCAAATGGAGATTTAATGTAAGAAGAGCTCATTTGCTTTAATTTCTGCCTACTTTGCATAGAAAAAAAACTTTGCTGGTCTGAACTTGCACTAAAATGTTATTGCACAACGACCACAATAATTCCTACGACATGAGTCAGGATTTAGTTGGTTTAAAGAATCTCTGCTATGCGGCAGATCACGTCCTTATGGTCTTTTAAAGAGAGGTGTAGAAACCTGCACCAACCCAAAAGCTATCAGACGAGTATTTTAGTCATGAAGCCTGAACTCTGGGGATACAGTGGAGTCCTGGGCTCATTTGAGTGGCCTGATCTCACCCTCTAGCCACTCTTTCTATTCTATCTTTATCACAATGACTACACTCTAACCCTGCTTTCACCTGTCCACTTGCCTCTTTGGAGTTTATGATTATGCTACTTATAGAATGCCATAAGTAAGGGTTTCTTCTTCTTAAGTGTTTGTTCTGAATAGTGTCCTAGATAGCATTCTGAGGACACAGGTGTATATTAAAGGCTAAAGTGCTGCTGTGCACAGGCGAGTATAGTTAGGTAATGGGAAGGTGTGTGTGTTTGTGAGTGTGTGTAATGGGTTGATTGGGGCCATTAGCAAGGCAGAGTCAGGCTCACCTGCTGATCCAGGTGTTCCAGTCTGGCTAATTGAAGGGTTGAGGTGGAGGACCTGCAGGGCCAGTAGGGCTACTGCCCGGAATAACACATCCACCATTGTCTCACCCGCTTATTTAGAGACTCTCGCCGTAAGACCCGATTCCCCAAACACTCTTTCAGATGAATGACCTTTTTTTCTTAATAGCCGTTTGCCACGGAGACCACTTTGTCAGTCACAGTTTTGTATTGTATTTTACATTTCTGGATGCACAACACAGAAAAATGTGACAGAAATATGACTCCTGGGGCTGATCATTTTCCCAAGGGGCCCCTTTGTCAGGTCTGCAGGATTCATCCTGTTCTAGAGTCAGGCGATGGTTGTATCCAGTGTGTCCAGGCGGGTAAAACCCAGTCCTGTAATTGGGATCCAACAGAAATGTGGTGGGGAGGAACACTGTGAGGATTAGGAAGCACCTTCTTGTTCCCCAGAGATTCAGGGATGAATGGTCACAGCCTGTGGCAGGACCACACAGTCGGCTGCAACACCACACAATCACAATGCCATCAGCAGCACGGCGGAGGGTAACCCACTGTGGCAGAGAATCACTCTCATCAGCAACACCACCCAATCACAAAGCTATCAGCAAAGCCGTGATGCTGCACCCGGTCCAGAATCCCCAGGGTTTACGGCTAGGACTCTTTCATTCCTCTCCTCTCCTCTCCTCTTTTTCCTCTCCTCTCCTCCCCTCTCCTCTCTTCACTCTTCATTACCTCCCCTGTTACATCCCGCTCTCCTTTTCATTTTTTTGTCTGCCCCCCCCCCTCCTTCGCGCCCTTTATCTCTCATGACTCCCTCCTGCCCAGTGATGGATATTGGCGGTGTGATTAGTTGAGCTTCAGTCATTTTCCCATACCATATTTTCTATTAGCTGCCAGCCAGCCAGCCAGGTTGTCCTGAGGCCTGTAAATGTAGCCTGGCAAGGGAATAGGAGCACAGGGACAGCAGAGTGATGCTTTTGTTGGCGTGGTGCTGCACTGCAGGGTCCAGGACTCCTCTTGACACTCGTGGTAGAGAAGGCACTCTAGATCACAAAATAACCACATTTGGCTTTTTTTTTATTTGTCCACAATGTTTAATAGTTAGTAACAGTAACATTAAGCTTAACTGTTGAATACACTAAGCTCAGGGCTCATTTCTTAAAGCTGCTAGAATCAGTATTTTCATATTAAAATGGGATTTGGGTTTAACAGTGAGAAATGTTTCTGTTTTGACTGAATTTCCCTGCTTTCAATAGTGTTTTATATAGCAAAATAGCTCTTAAAAACCCCCACTGTGGGCTACCTACACCAAACAGCACTGGGACAAAGTTAACATGTAGGTAGTGGCGCATTTAGCAGCTAAAGACCGAGATATTTCCTTCAGGAGTTGGTTGAGAAAAAAAAATATTGGACTTACATTCACCGGGTTATCAGAAACCCAACTTGCATGCTAATGTTGCTCCGTGTCTGCTGGGTCTGTAAATAAACAGTTTGCTAAAACTTTAAAAGCTAATATGTCATGGTTGTGTTTCCAAAAAAATCACTGAATGTAGGTTTAAATACCCTATCTTCAATTTATTAGAACATTCACAGAATGTTCAACCTTCTTTCTGAATGCTGGCGATGTTGGAAATGACTATTGAATGTGGACCCGTTTTATTCTCACCTTCATTATTCCTGCTATCTCTGACACTGGAAAAACATCTAAAGAGGAGCTAGCCACCGGTACAGACATTACATGAAGGACTCAGCTCGTACATAACATAACTGTAGCTGGCGAGCAAACAGGCTCCTCTTAATACGGATGACAAAAGACATTCTCTGGCCATCACCTTTCCTTTCGACATCTAGATTTATGGTTTTAATGAAGCAGGGGCAGTCAAGTGGAGACTGAAGGGCCTTGTTGCTCTGCTCTTCACTGGCTAATATGGCTGTAACAAAGGCTCAGTGAAACACTTTAACTGGCACGCATTTAGCACCCTCCAGATTGAAAAATGGAGCTCTGAAATGGTAGTGATAGACTGTCTGCAGGGTCAGCGTGCAACATCGTGGAATCAGATACCCTGGCCTCTTTCATTGTGGGGCTCAAGTGGTTCAATTGCCCTCTTTTATGATTTTATGAACAGGGTTTACGATCATTCTCGATTTTATTACAGTGTTTCTCTCAAAGCGATAGTTCCTTATTAGAGGTGAAATTATTTTTTACTTCCTGGAGCAGTTTGAGGTTAGTAAGATATAACCAGAGTGCTTTAAGCTTGAGTGTGTGTTTTGTGCCTGTGCTGACATTATACCTCAGCTCTCCCCCGAGTAGCAAGCTCAGACTAGTTTATTGGAATATTAAGCCCCCTCTTCTGTACCATGGTGTGCTTTAAAACCTGTTGGACCAAACAAGTTGACCATCCTATTTGCTGATACAACAGTGTTGGCTTCTTGTGCTACATTCATCCTCATAAATTCACTCAGGATGTGTCAGAAAGTTTACTCAGAGCACCAAAACTTCAAGGATCGAATTACCCCTTCTTCTTTTTTTCAAGTAATGGCTTTTACCATCTATATGGACTACTCATACATCTGTAACAAGAATAAATGTCACCCAAACCTGAACCTTAAATAAGCTACTCAATTTCCTTGTCCTCTGACTTACCCTTGTTCTTGGCTCACACCTCCTACTAGTGCTTTTCCTCTTATCCGACATGGCAGGAGGCAAACTTGTTGCAACAGTTCCTCTGGATCACAGTTCAGACTTTAGACTCTTGTTTCCTGACTGCTCTTGTCTTTTCCTGACTGCAGAGCGGTGGATTAGCTGGGTGTTAATTGGACATTTGACCATTCACATAGAGACACAGTGCACAATATTCTAACCTGTACCCTCTCTTGCTCACACTTGAACTCACACTGCAAGTTTGGACACAGACACCAAACCAGTCCAGGCCCCTCTGAACTCTCTCTCTCCCTCGCTCTCTTCCTGTCTGTGTGTCTCTCTCCTCTTCTGACAAAGGCTTAGGGCTCCAAGCCAGTGAAGCATGTTTAAACGGTGTGTGAGGAGATGAATATTTGTATTGGTTTTCTGTATCTTTATTGAAAGCACCCCTCATAAGTCTTCCGTGTAATCTCTGCTCTGTTTATGCATCATTTCCCTCTGCGTGCACTCATGAATGATCTAGTTTAAATACCAAAGTAAATCACATTCTGCATACCATACCTTCACACACACACACACACACACACACACACACACACACACACACACACACACAGCTGATCTGTGCAGACATGTATGCAGTATACAGTAAAGTAAAAGCAGACACAGTTTGTAATTGTGTCTTGTCAGGGGAGATGATTGCACTTTAAGACTGATTTCCTTTTTTATTTATTTTTTATTACTACTTCACCAGCCGGCCTGTATGTGTCTATTCCTCCTCTGGTGTGTGTGTGTGTGTGTGTGTGTGTGTGTGTGTGTGTGTGTGTGTGTGTGTGTGTGTGTGTGTGTGTGTGTGTGTGTGTGTGTGTGTGTGTGTGTGTGTGTGTGTGTGTGCATACAAATGAATATATTTCTCACACTGTCTGCTATCTCTCCTCTCTCTGTCTGTCTCTGTACTAATCTCTGTCTTCCCCTGGTAAATGATTAACATGGAGAACCTGGCTGAACTATAATCAACAAACCCACAGTGAGGTAATTACCACTTTATTCCCCGTCCTGCTAACAAAGCAATCTCTCTCTCTCTCTCTCTCTCTCTCTCTCTCTCTCTCTCTCTCTCTCTCTCTCTCTCTTTCTTTCTTTCTTTCTTTCTCTCTCTCTCTCTCTCTCTTTCTCTCTCTCTCTCTCTCTGTCTTCTCATCTGTCATGTAACTGTATCAATGTCTCTCTCCCTTTTTCTGTGTCTTTCTGTGTCAATGCCTATTGTCTCACACGCTGCTGTGCTGTGGTCTGTGTAGCTCCAGAGATGTGTTTGTGACTGCGATTGTGTACCTTATCTGTCCTTGTAAATGCGCTTTGTCTGTTTGTTTGTGGTACTGAGTGTATTATCTGGAGGTAAACTGTGGATGAGTTAACTGTGTGTACACTTGAGCTTCTTCATCTCTGTCGGAAAACAATGCGAGGCAGTGATTTTACTGATTTGTACGCCAGTGAATTGACATTTGGTGCCATTGTTGTCAGCTGAAGTTCATTTCAGTGGAACAATAGCTCTGTTAGAGGTGCGTGTGTGTGTGTGTGTGTGTGTGTGTGTGTGTGTGTGTGTGTGCGTGCGTGCGTGCGTGCGTGCGTGCGT